CCAACTGCTGTGTTTCAGTCCAGTTTCTCTGAAAGCAAGAACATTAGAAAGAAAATCTGGTATGCCTATGACAAAGAAATGGAGGAAACATGCAGCCAAGGAAAACAATTTCTTCCGTCTTGAGGTCCTGAAATTACTTTCCCTGTTTACATCCTGTTTTCTTCTGTGCTTAAATTCACTCCTGGTGGGAGGACATTTTCAGTGTGTTTGTGTACCAGCACATAGGCTTTTGCTGAGGTCCAGGTCACCAGCATCTGCCTGGAAAGGAATACAGCAGGAGACATTATCCAACAAGTTTTTAAATGCATTTATAAGATTTTGACATTTTAAGTGAAGGAAACTGCTAGAGGGCTCTTTTCTGTGTAAACAAAGAGGAAATCATTGAAGTTGTCCAGACAGGGTAACCTTGGTAAGAGTGATCTGTTATTGTATCTAGTTTCTATGACAGGAATGAAAAATAACAGCATAATAGCAGCATATTTTTTTAAAAAAAGCATATCCAAGTGCACACTTACCTCAGTAGGAAGGAAAGGTTGAAAGAGTAGCAAGAGAACAACCCCAAGTAGGAGAATGAAGTCCACACTAAGTAGAAGCAGTATCAAGTTACTAATGTCAAGATAGAATTGTAGAATAGACACTTAAGAATAGAAGGATCAAGGCACAAAATGAAATGGAGCTAACAAGATAATAAGATAATTAGAAATGTTTTTATAAGGGTCTTTTTCAACTATTCATTGTGAAAATGGAAAGGCTTATTAATTAGTGTTATCCTGGTTTTTGTACTATTCAGTACCTTATTAGCAATTTAAATAATAGAAATTTTTTTTCAAATTCCTTCCAAGTCCATGAACCAGTGTAATGATTTATGAGTGGGCACACTCTTAATACAGTTACATGAAATTTTGAAGTGTTTGCAGTTCACATCAGCTTCTAGGTTTTCAAAGCTGTTGATTTTACTTTTCAGAAAGGACTGCCTGAGATGTGCACTGGAGAGAAAAAAAGAAACAAAAGGTGCTGAAAGAAAAAGTGCAAATGAGACCATCTCCTCTTGGTTTCCTTCTCTAATGATATTTAGAGAAAATACTTATTTTCTTTAGGATACCCTGACTCCAAAGACATAGACATCCACATACCCCCTTAGTTGGTATCAGATACTTTTAAAAGCACTGCTGTACTTGGATCTGGGCTCTGCTTGCTCTTGCAGCTTTTCTAGCAAGCCCATATAGACTGTGGTAGCCTTAACCAGCATTTGTCCACTTGTTTCTCAAAATCCCAGGAGGATCAGGGCTCCAGATCAGCAGAGGGAGAGGGCAGCTGCTGGAATCTGTCAGATTGGTGCATCTCAAGAAAGTCACGTGGTAGAAATTGGTGTTTCCTGGTGATCAACACAGGTTCAACTCCGGGTGACTGGCAGTAATAGACAATGTTATCTTGTTGCTTGATAGTCAGAAGAGGATGCTTAAAACTGTGCCTGTAAGACAGCCATGCCATAGTTGTCCTCTGCTCTGAAATGCTGAGCTACAGAGTAGTGGGAGACAGACAAATGAGCAACGCATCTCTTGGCAGAACTGCAAACTTTGAATGTTGGGAGTGGGATAAGAAGGAATGTTGTGGTGACATGTTATAAACAAATCAGGCAACCAGATTTGTCTCAGCCTTGGAAGAACAGGCCTTAGTGTGACTGGAGGGTATTTTTGGGATGTCTACTTGCAAACCTGAATTCTGTCCAACAAGCAGCTGGAAATGCCATAGAATCCAGAAGAAGATCAAATTGCCCTACACAAATCAGGAGTTCTTACTTTGTTTCTAGAAATACAAGGTATGGATATATTTTAGATATATCCATTTATATCTCATACATAAAGCTAATGTGAGCTGTGATTGATATATTTACATGTAACTGTTTATAAATGAAGTGGTGATGTCCAGATGCTTCTCGCTCTTGCCGTAACTTGATACAACACTACTGTTGGGTTAGATTCCTCTGAATTCTTTAATGTTTCATTCCCCACTATACAATAAGGTAAATTTACCTAATTTCAATGCTGTCAGCCCTTGTCAGGGTGGATGACTCTGTCTCAGTTTAACAAGGAGAAAATCTTTCAAAAACGTGCCTTACAAAGATGGCTCTTCAGAAAAGCATTGTAAAAAATGCTGACAAGATGGTTATTGTTGGAATCTGAAATCATTAAATAATTAATAAATTCAGTACTTTATACCAAAAGCTTTTAGCAAAGACTTTAATTCTCTAAACTTTTTTGCCTTCAAGACTGATACAGTCATACAGAAACATCTTTATAGCAACCAACAACTACACTTTTCTCCTTGAAGACCCAGAGACCTCCATGAACAACATGACAGGTTATAACACTTTTCCTAATGAATTCCTGAGTAAAGTGCTAAGATAAATCACTTCAGGCTTTGTATCAGAGGAACAGCTTTGAAGCTATTAAAAAACTTTACCTTTTTGAAAGTCAGTTAATCAAGACAGTTAAAATAGATAAATGAAAGAAAATTAGGTATCTACATTTTGATGTTGAGAGGTGGCATTTAATCTTAGGACTTGAAACAATTTCAGTCTCTCAGAGAACTTTCAATGCACGCCAGCATTCCTGTTGCATCCTGAGGTAAGGAAATTATTTTGCTAACTCATAAACAAGTTTCAAACATTCAAAACCCTCTCCCATAGTCTTTTGTGTGCAGTTTCATGCTGAGAGCAATAATTTTTTTTTTTTTTTTGGTGGTGCTGGTTTCCAGTTAAGCTAGTTCTTCCTTTGGAAGGTGGCTTGACATCCATAATAGATCTCTAGAATAAGCCAAAGACCCATTTTCAGCCAAACAGGCTCAAACAACTTGGAAGTTCAGCTGTGCTACTACACTCAAATTACATGACCAAACCATGTAAAAGACACTTAAAAAACAATGGGCATTCGTTCAGGGCACCATGGCAAGGTTTGCAAGCTGAGTCATGGCATTATTCCAATTTAGTTACGTTGCTTTGCATTCTTAAATAGGAACACTTTCCGCTGCCTTTGGAGACATTGCACTATTTTCAGCTGCATGGTGTCAACATGCCCAGTGTCAGAGGAGACTTCTGCCAATAATTTATTCATTATACAGAATTGTTTTCTAGTGTAAATATATTTAGTTAAAGACTGTTTACACCTGTTCAGCCTTTCTGTGTCTCACAGGTCCAGGAGACTTAAAATGTGTAGTCAGGGGCTAAACTTCTGAATTGCATCCTGAATTCCCTATGTCTCAGCATTATCAGTGGAGCAGCTATAAACTAGCAGGACAGCTGACCTTCAGTCTTCTGAAACATTCAAATTTCACCTTGAAAGAATTTCCTGGGTGTACTCCAGTGTCATAGCAGGAGAATTTAATATATCTAGATCTCTCCTTGCTTGATTTCTTCTACACACGTCTTCTCTTCACAGGAAACATATCAAAGTACTTTTTTACTCCCACAATGTACACTTACATTTAGCACATGCAGGCCTAAATATTTTGAAAATAAATATTCTGAAAAGCCCTAACTTTGGGGCTTTTGAGAGATGTATCCTGTTCCTGCGAAGCATAAAGGAACTATATAAATAATAGGGGAGCTCAAGAAAAACAAGATTCTCTCTCTGATGTGCACATTATATGGGCACAGGAGGTGGAGATGAATCCTCTGATGTTGGAGATGTGTAGAGATCCAGGTGTGTTTGTAAAGCAGCAAAGAGAGCCAGGGAGGCACCTGTTGCACAGTCTGGTGGCTGCAATGTCTTCAGATTGGTGTTCAGGAGATGGCTGTGTAAAACAGCAGCAAGGAAGAAGGTATTCTTCCTGCTATTTCTCAAAATATTTTCCTCTTTCATGCAGGGAGCACTCTATCCCTGGGCAGTGGCTGTGGGTGCCAGGAGACAGAAGGATACCTGGAACAAACTCCTTGAGAGTCCAGCATGAGCTCCTGAGAATCATGTTCTGTACCATGCAGAAGGGTGTAATTGCCTATCAGTTCTTCCTCTTGACTTCTGTCCACTATTCTACTTGTAATTAATCTTGCAGTCTGGAGGATATATGGACCATGCTGTTTCCCTACCTGCTTTGGGGCTGGCATATCCAAGCCCCTGGAGTTAACATTTTGTGATTCAAAAGTACTGATTAATTATTGAGGGCTCCATTTTGTCTATAGAGGGTAGTTTCGTATCGCACTTACATGAGAATCACAGTCCTGATGGGATTCTCTAAAAAAACTGTCACTTTTTTGAAATTACAGTTGTTTCTGAAAATCGGCAATTAATAAATGTGTGTTCTATATTCTAGACAGCAGAACTGTCAGTAGCTGTGTTACAGGCTTGCTTTTCACTGGTGAGCAGAAGTTTGTACCTCTTCAGCTTGAGAAAATACACTGATAATGTTTTAGAGAACTGATTGTTCTGAACCTCCTTGGGCTAATTTTGCATAGTACTGTGTGAACATAACAGCATTCTAGAGGAATAAAACACCACTCTGCCACATTTGGTCACTGAGGTAGAACTCTAAACATGCTTTTCATGCCCATTTCTGGTTTCTCAGCACACACTTGACTTTTGGAACAAGCCACTGTTTGTAATGAACTCCCCAGAGATTTCTTGCACCCTTGAGCTCCTCAGTCATGCCCTATGGACTTGATGTTTTGCTGTTACTCATCTTTCTCGTAATCTTTGAGTGCTTCACAGTTGGGAGCAGAGCTGGGAACTGTCTGGACAGCCCAGCAAAGTGCTGGGGAAAGAGAAAGGTCAATGAACTTAAATCCTTCCTGTGCAAACTTGGTGTTTTGTGTCAGAACATTGTGTCCTTTCACTGTATCCAGAGATGCATGGTCCTTTTGCCTGCAGTGTGTTTACCACTACATAGCTGCAAATGCATGATGTTCCTGTCTTTACTTTCCTCCTAGCAGAATGTTGTATATTATATCAACAGCAAAACATGAAGATCCTACTAAAACAAGTATTCTCCTTTGTTTTTCTTTCTAGAATTGTGCAGCAAGTGATTTCACTAATTGCAAGGAGGAAGTGGAACACAGCAACACTTTTGATCTTATGTTAGGCTCAGAAACTCCACCAGCCGTGGGTAAGTCATGCTGTTAGACAGCTTTGTTGGTAGGGGGTCAAATGAATGTACCATATGCTGTATCAAATGAATGAGTTCATGGGCAGAGAGGGTAAGTTACTCTAACACTTTCAATTTCCATGTGTTACTGCAACTTCCAGGGAGGGTAGATGTCCTAAAAGGAGAAGGCAATTGAGGGATTCAGTTGGGATAATAAAGTTCTTGCTCAGTACAAGATATCTCAGTGCAATCACCCCTCCTTTTAAACTCTGGAAATTTGTGATCTCTGTTCTGAACCTAGGAAACTGCTGAATTCCCCAAGTTCTCAGAGAAGAACTTTCATAAAAGGGGAGGCACAGCCTACAGGTGCAGTCAAGTCCTGCATGGAGGCATAGATAATTGACATTTTGCAGCTTGATGTTCCTACTTTCAAGCATAAATTGGTGACAAGCCTGCTGATGATCTGTGTGGTTATATACATTCCCCTTGAAAACTGCAATGTTGCTTGTTTACATTTACCAATGGCATATATTCGCATATATCTTACAGTATCATGGATCTATGAGACTAAGTTTAATCCTCTTTTTATCTTGTTGAAAATTTTATATTTTTCTCTCATACATATGAAAAGGACATTTCTTCCTTGCTAAGTTCAAACTGGTCGCACATAGAGGTAGATTATAGACGCTGTGAAACAACAGGTTTGCTCTGCTAAAATTTTCACTGTCTCTGTCACATTGTATATGGGAACAACTCAGGGTGAACACCTGGGAAAAGAGTATGAATTGAACCATGTTAGCCAGGTAAATGCCCTAACCTCCCATTTGAATCAGTGGTGAAAAGCAGGCATCACCAAATTATAGCTCAGAATGGAAAACTACCTCAAGGGCTCAGTAAAGTCTGCTGGCAGATTGTGTAGTTTACTCTGTTACTTTACTGAGATTGACTACTAAAATGTTGATGCAGTACATAGTGATTAAAACGTACACTTTCATATTCCTCCACTTTGTTCTAGGTCTGTGGGTCACTAGAGACAGAAGAGCTCTGTTTCCACAAGTCTACAGTCATGTCTCCCATGGACAGTGTTTATTTCATTTTAGAGAGATTCAAATTAGCACCCAAATCCCCTTGTACAAAAAGCAGTAACACAGATGTGTGAGCTACGGCTTTATTTTGCCAAGTGTTGCACTGTGCTGCTTTGAAAGTCAGGTAATAGAAATTCTGGAGGCAAGGAAAACGTGTGTGATTTCATTCTGACAGCTGCTCTAGAAAAGTTTAACATTGCACACATGAAAATGGTGTGTATCAGAGTAGCAAGACACAATGAAAACTTCCACTGTTGATTTAGTAAATATTTAAAATGCTCTTCACTGATGGTAAGAATTTGACAGCTTTCCTTCTGTATCAATTCATAAAAGTTTTATTAGCCATTGTGTTGCTTCTGAAGGAATCCTTGAAACAAGAAATGCTTCCAGATGACAATTTTTAAATGAAATAATGTTTTCTTTAATATTAAAAGCCAAGCAGAACTCAAGAGATCAATATGCAGTTGGATCGAAACGCCAACAAGAAGTCAAGGTGGATGAGGAAAAGAAGAATGACCTAAAAGACAGCAGAGAGGAGACAGAATATGAAAATGAAGAGGAGGAGGATTCATACAGCATTCACAACAGTCCTGGCAGTTTGTATGCCAATGTAGGGGATGAGCTCAAAGAGAGCAGGAGAGATTGCTTTTTCTGCAAGAGGCCACCCCCTCCTCCCCCTCGAAATCTGCCTGGCATCCAAAGACGGGACAATCTGCATAATTCGTTACAAGGTAAGATCTTGGGAGGAAAATAACCCCAGATACAAACATGTGCAAGACAGACAATGTGCTGCTGTAGAGATTGGTTTGGTCACTTCTGGCAGTAGCTGGACAGGACAGCCCATCACATATGCATGCTTGTGCATATGAGGGCCTAACTCTGCAAAACAAGCATCTGCATGTGGCCTTTGCTGCATCAAAATACTCATGACCAGGTTTATCAGGTAAATACTGGTGGTATGGGCTGCTGGGTTCAGCTTTTCCTCACTCCACCTATCTCAAAGAGCTGCCAAATAGTGCATGGTGCACTGGATTTGCAAGAGAGGCTTGAAACAAAGATGAAGCCTGTATTTTTTGTCAAGTTGACTTCATTATTATTACCATTTTAAAATATTAAATGCTACGGTGATTTAATATACAGCTTGAAGTTTCACATTAAAATTAATAGAATTGTTAGAAAGTGACCATGCAGAAAGAAGTAACAGTATCTTTCTTCATTTTAGTCAATTTTGTAGGTACTTAGAAGTAAAAAGTTATATTGCAGATTGAAAAGAAAGACAGAAATTCTGACAAATGCTTTGCCTTTTTTTCCTTTTTTTAATACATCCTCCCCAGAGTAAAAAATTAAATTTTGTGTTGTGGTTTTGTTAAAGTGATAAGAAACTCAAAGTACTATTGCATCTATTTCAGGAGGGATGATCACCAATTTTATTTATTGGGAAAAACAAGTATGCAAAATAATTCAAGCTTAAATACCAATTTTAAATAGTTGCATAGGGGGAAAATAAACCTTTCTTATATCTTATAGACACTGCTGATAAGTGTGCACACAAATTGCTTCTCAGTATCTCTACAGCTTATTACTGTTAACTCTGTTTTCAAACATGGTGTAACCTATTAAAATCTTAAATTACATTCACCAAGCACTCTGATATTCACATAATTAGGCAGAAATGGCTTGCTATCGGTAGGATTTTATCCTGTATTCTGCTTTGCAGGAAAGCAATGGCTATAGGTAGAAAGTCATAAGTGAAGTCTAAGAGAAAAAGGGGCAGTATAAAATTTACATTAAGGGTATGTTTTGCTTCCCACAAAACACTCAACTGCATCTATATGTATCTATAAATGAGGGATCCGTTTTGGCACACAGGATTTGTTGGAGTAGGTTTGTTATAAATGCCTGTCTTGGAATAGTTCTTATATGGCTACATCACCACAGTAATGTCACCCTCTCTGCCAAATGCTCTCTGTCTGCATGTGGGTACCAGCAGAGAAAGTTTCCTGGTGTCCTGTGCCAACTCCTGTGTGGGTATAGCAGAGTTCATCTAAAAATGCTCCTGTGGGGATAGTTCATTTAAAATGTGCGCTGAATTATTCTGTTTTGAGCTGTGGTTTCATCACTGAGGAATGAGGTATCAGAATTTCTCTAGATGAAGATGATGCTTCCTTTCAAAGAGGAACTGTAATGACTTACTGCTACATATTTTTTAGCCAGCTGCTTGCTTTAGGAGTTGTTGAGGAGTACCTTGAAGTCAAGTCCTCTCTTCTTCATGTTTGGCAGTGGCCTGAGAGTGCCCCTGTGGAAGTTGAAAGAAAGAATGTCCTACAGAGAAAGTATATAGTGATCTAGAAACAAAATATTATTCATATTATATATGGCAGGTGTATTAACACCACTTGTGGTTTTAAAACATGTATCTTAGCCAGAATGGATGTTAATAGTACATACTATTATTAATACATCCCATTAACAAATATATCCCACTTACAAAGGTTGTTTAGCTCCTCTGAACACATAAACAGGTAATTCTTTAAATAGCAGCCAAAGCATTGAGAACACCACTAGTGACCACAGCTGAGCTTAGCAGATACACATACGTACAGGCAGTAAATTACAGCACAAGGGAAACATGAGTCAGTACAAGAATTCCAGGCAGGTCTGCTGTTTTTGCAGGAAAGATGGGTAACCATGCCAAGGAATTTATGAACATTTATGGGAAGACCAGCCTCAGTGACAGCTTCTAACTCTTAGCAGTTTGTGGATGTTTTAAGGCAAATCAAAACAAACCCAGGTATTAGGAAAATTTTAATGCTGTAAAAGGCAAAAACTAGGGAAAAGCAAGTTCTGAGTAGCTGTACTGTGAAATATATGAAGTATAGGGAACACAGAGAGATGTGGAAGGTTTTGGAGGGGGGGAGGGTTAAATAGTTTTAGCACAGATTGTAAGAGCTCCTATATTTTACCTGCATTGAAAAGGAGTTCTTCAATTTCTTTTTCACCTTGGCCAGCAGTAGATCTGTAAAGACCTCAAAACCCAGTGGGATATTGAAGAGGTAGGAAACACAAAATCCAACATTTCCTAAACTAAGTTTCAGTTCTAAAGTCATTTTTGCAACAGGTAACAAACATCTTGACTTTCCAGAATGCCAAGGGCCGCAGGTACCACTTACTTAACCATGAGTTACATGTTAGTTACCATGACTTACACGGTGGTATAACTCTCATGAGAGCAACTGGGTCACTCAGTATTTCTGCAAATAAATCCATTTATTTTGTGGCCAATAGCTAAGTATCTGCATTTGATGATCTGATGTGAAATCATGAGGGGGCCTTGAAGTTGGAATTATTCCTTTGGGGCACCCTCTCTTACTGAGTTAGATGATCAGAAGCCTCTGAAAATGAGAGTGCTTTAATTTAGAAGTGAAATGAGGTCTCTGAGCTACTTTAGGAAACTCTAAAGCTATAAGTCATAATCTCCTTTCTTTACCCTGTACATGCAGCACAATTCCTTCCTTTTTCAGAGAGGAATTTTGTGATGGACAGGAGTAAAAGAGAACAGGGTGATGGACTCATAACTGCATGCTGCAGAGAAGACCAAGGTACCTGCGAGGAGGACAGCGAGGAGGAGCACCCCTACACTTGTGTGGCACTGGATGAATGTGTGTACGACCTCATCCTGGGGCAGGAGGAGCAGCAGGAGGAGAAAAGGAAGCACTGCAGGTCCTTTATCATGAACAGGCCTCCAGCCCCTGCACCTCGGCCCGTGTGTTCACTGCTCAGAGAGGACAACACTCCCTACATAGTTCAAGGTTGGTGCTGCTGCCATGTAAATATTTTCTGGGAGCCTGTAGACTCTTCTCTTGGTCTCTTTGAGCAGTAACATTTTCTAAACTCCCTGTTCAGCTGCCTTCAAACCAACACGTTGTTTGTTTCAATCAACCTATTCTCACCCTTCAAATGAGCTGAGAACATCTCTGAATAATTTTCAGTTTGCATCAGAGATAGTATCACAGTTTTTATTTAGCTTTTAAAAAATTATGACAATATGATAGAAAATGAAGAATCATTGGGCTAACTGTGAGTGCATATGTTACAGCAATGCAATGTAGAATGTGCTGTTTGAATTGCCTTTCTTTCCAGTTTCTTTATCAAAATGGTTTTACTTAACACTGAAATCTCTCTCTCATTTTTTTTTTTTTCTGATGAGAATAACTCTCTTTTATGGGAGAAATGCCTATGTGAGGATTTCTCTTTCAAATATCTTTTCTCCAATTTGAGATGCTAGAACTGGGCATTTCTAGGTAGGATCATTATATTTCTTGAAGGAAAAATTATGTCCTTTTACCACTTCCATGAAAACTGGGAAACCTTTTTGAGCAATTTCATGGAAATACAAGACCAGAAGGGATTTCAGATATCTTTGTAATCCCATTCAGACTGAAACCAAATTTGAAAGTAACAAAAGTAATTCAGTGAATATGCTGCAGAGATCTCTTTTTAAGTCCCAAAATCCATCCTGCCTGCATCTCCAGCTTCTCCTACAGAAGCCTGCCAATTCATAAGAATACGTGGTAAAAAATATATTGTCAAAGGACACCATTGGATTGCTTACTTCATGCTGTCCATGTTTTACACTAAAACAGAATTAATGCTACCCAAAACATCCTACCAAATACAGAGTAGCACCTCCTCTTTCATGCCTGTCCCAGTCAGTGGTTTCTTTTATTCTTCCTAGCTAGGTCTCTTCCTCTGGGCTGTGTAACTCCAGGTTAGGGCCAGAATGCATGGCCTAATGCATTCATCATTTAGTTGCTCTTTTTTCAGCATATTCAGGAGGTTTAAGTATGAATCATTATAGTGTAATCCAAGAATGGATGAGTACAGGGGGCCTGTTACAGCTACAGAAGGCATGAAACAGCTGCTTTTACTGAGGTTGCTAAAGCAGTGTCTCAAATCTTGGTCCACCATCATCATAGACAGGCCAGTGACTTGGAAACCCTTAGTGGAGATGCTTTATTTGGGAGATTGCTTTTACTGTCATATATTGCACTGGAGTGTTTCTGCTTTGTTTATTGGCTGAGGCAGATGCTATCAGAGGAACTGCACTGAAGGGGCTGTGGTTCACCATGTGAACCACATATCCATATCCATATGTGTACATATCCATTTGTACACACACAAGTTTTTTACCTTTGCTTTCATTTGGTAGACAAATAATTTTCCAGTGGTTCTGTGAAATCAGCCTTTGGCTTGTGTTCCTTTGCTTACACAATACATGAGGAAAAATGGAAGCACTTCAAGAAAGCTTCAGCTGACCACTCAGGTCTCTGTTTTGCTGCCTATCCTGCTGGTTCCAGACCTAGAATATCTTATTTTTGTCCAGGGATTCCTGAGATAACTAGTGAAATTTTAGACAAAAGGGATATATCTTCATCTGAAAGATTTTTTTCTTGCTACTTGGATTGACAATCTGTTTCCTCCACGCTGGTTAAAATAATTTCCTCTCCAGTCCAGCAATATCCCAATTTCCAATTTATTATTTTAGAACTGCTTATATTTGATAAAAAAATAAAATTAAAAAAAAAAGATTATTTCATCTGTATGAACCAGAAAACTTCATTCCAATCCACCATTAAAATCTGCATGTGCCTGCAGCCCTTCCTTTGTAATTTAAGCAGTGTAAAATAATGTAACTCTATAGTAGTAAAATAACTCTAGTTATGCATATACACATTTTTCATCCAGCAAATAAATGAATGATGGTTTTGGGGTTTGCTTTCATCTATTATATTAAAAAGAGTGTTGCAGATATTGCAAAGTCAAATAATCAAAAAGCTAGAATTGAGGTAGTTTTACCCTTTCTCCCTGCCAGGAACATTACAATACAGTATTAAGTAGGTAGCCATATGCAGCTATTTTTCTCAGATATTTTCTTTCATGTCATCTGTGTTTAAAGTGGGTGAGCATAAAAATACTTCAGTATTTTTAATTCTCATTTTCTTTAACGTATAGTTCATGCCTGCTCCTAGACTCCATGTGTTGTTTCAGACCCTCCTGTTATAAACCCTTTGATTCTGCATCCACTGAATTTTGGGATGCCCAGTATGTAGTAACTAAGATTCTTGAGGTGGGCAGCATTACATAACACTGCTCATTCAAAGCAGAGACACCATTGATTTCAGTGGCCACTATGAGCTCTCAGAACTTCAAATTAAATCCTTACTGTGTCTAGTCAGTACTCTGATGTCAGGCATTACAAGTCGGATTGCTGCCTTAAATGACTTGTCTGACCTTTGGCCTGGGCTTTGTTGGAAAGATAAATCCTGTCCTGCAGAGCAACTTTTAGTTACTTAACTGAGCCATCCTTCCCTCCTCTGTATTCACTTTCTATTTTCTAAACACCTTTTAATTTATAAGACAAATTATTTAATTTCCCTGTAAGAAGCAGATTGTGTTCACTGCACAGTTCAGGTTGATCTTCAGAACTGCTCCCTTCTGGCATTCAGTAAGACACAAGTCCTGTGGAAAAACAGAATGGAGTATGATGCACAGAGTGAGGATGTTTTAAGGCTACACATTTGCTCACAAATGGATCCCCATGTACTTTGGGAGTTCATGAAAAGCTTCATGTCCCAAGGATTGCAGAGACTGGTGTGATAGTGTCATGCAGAGATGCAAGAGGAGGATTTTTTTTCTTTCAATTTATGTACCTGGAGAGGGGCTCATTTATTTAGGGGTGGAAGTAACCATTGCAGAGCAGAAATGCCTTTTGCCTCCTGGATTGCATTCAGGTGACTTTATATCCATCTGGACAAATCAAATGGCTGAATTTCCATGGGTGCTTTCACCACACATTGAATGAAGGCCATGACATTACAAAAGAGTATCTTCTCCTTTAAACAAAAGTGATGGTGCTTCCATGAGAATAGCAACAAAGAACAAAGTAAGCAAATAGTTTTCTTTGTAATAAACAGCTTTATTTTTTTTTGTAATAAACATGGAATATGAAGTTTACACTGGGCAGAAAGCCTGCTCCCTGTAGATTACCCCACTTGGTGTTCTGCAGAACAGGATAGGGAAACTGTTGATCTATAGAAAGCAAACATGGGACTTGACAAGAGTCACTTTCAGAGCAAGATCTACACTTCAAAACCTAGGCAGTAAACACTCAGTGATGCAAGCTGTCATAACTGAAACTACCACAATTTACAGTTTGATCATCTGCCTTGAATTTGCTGACACATAAATTCTGGGAAACATGGGGGAGTTGAAAGATTTAAAACATAAGTGTTCTAATCGCTTTTGCTCTGTTTCATTTATTATACTTCCAAATTTTAATGAACATTCAAACTGCTGTATTGAACACTGGTAAACAGACTGCATTATTGACAAAGAGTACATTTGTTCTTTAATTTAGACCACTGCAAGAATTTTATCTTGTGTGTGAAAGACTCATCAACTAATGGAGCTGCAAACTGGTGCCAAGTAGCTCGTTGTCCAGATGGTGTGCACTCTTACTGTGCTCCCTTACCATTCCTTAGGTGCTTAGTACTCCTCTGAAGGTTATTTCAGTGTTTTGTTCAATTGTCTGCTGCCAAAACAACTGTTAAATAAACATCTGAAGGTGGTGTGTTTTCAGTTTAGAGTGCTATTTTAATGTTCCCTATTGATACCAAGTATGATTGAGCTGGAAACCAAAATCCTCAGTGTAGCTGGGGGACAGACGCATGAGTTTCTGCAGTGCCCCTGCCATTTCTGAAGCCTGACCTACTAGGACTCCCTCAGGGTTAAGGATTATATTACTGTCCTTGTTTAATCATTTACCTCTCATCACAGACCACTAGTATGAAATGGTTTCTCTGCAGCAAGGATACCTGCCCCACAACAGCATAAATTTCCTGTGCTATAGCTTTTATTCCTTTGCAAACCTCTCACAAATCCCTGAAGTAACGTATTTCCCTTCTGTGCATTGAAAACATTTTGCTATTTAAAGATAGCTGTCTGTGGGACCTCATCCTAGGGTTAAAAATTAGAAGTGGAAAAATATATTTTCCAGTTACTGTTCCAGTGGAGAATAACATTCTCATTGCTCATCAAAATCACAGGGTATGCAGAAGAAGTAGCATCCAGTGGATATTTTTAGGGAAGCAGAATATCTCACAAACAGAATAGACAGCATAAACCCACTGAAGTGAATAAATAAACTCCAGAGCAGAACCGTTAGTGTCTTGGAAACTTATCAGGCTGATTACTGGGAAATACAGTGATCACATCCTGAGTCAGTAATTCTTATTATGCCGATTGTTTAAATGCTCTAAAGCAGAGGTTTCCAAAGTGAAGCCTCAGAGGCCATGCAAATTGCAAAACATTAATGTCCCACAGAGAGATTTTGTAGTACTCTCCTACAGTGAGTATAAAGTACTGCACTGCAGATGAATTTCATTATGCATTTCTAACTTAAGGATGTTTTTCCATGAATTAAATACTAGGAAGCACTGTTTGGCTGGCAGTTAGACCGTTTTTACAGACCTGGTTGGGAGTGGTATACCAGCTTCACCCACTGTCTTCATTCAACCAAATTTTTCACTATCTGAATTCTGGTAGATTGAAGCAAGTACTAAGTAAGGTGCACAGAGAGAAAATATTTATGGGATGCTGCCTGGTTGCAAACCAAATTGTTCCACATAGTATATTTGAAGTAAAAACATGTCCTTCTCTTTTTGCTTTTCTCTACTCAAGAAAAATGGGACTAAAGAAGTATATTCAGGTTTTACATGCTGGAGCAAATATTCTTGAGTATGTCACTAGTCCTTCCAGCTTTCACAATCCACTGAGTTAAAACTCTGACAAGAGCAGAGGTGTGAGAGTTGTTTTCATTGTCTGTGGTACTGTGGTACACAGTAGATTGACACCACCCTCTGAGCAGCACCTTCAACTAACCACTGGTGCCACCCCTCCTCACTCACGCTTTAGCCCTTCTGTAAGAAGGGGGTTCTGGTATTATTTTTATTATCTTGCTTCAGTGTAGGGGAGCCATCTCTGTAGATTCTCCTGAAGTCCCTCTGTGACCAAAGTTGCTGGGATTCTAGCAGATTTGAGCTTTTATTTGTCAGACTCAGAATCTCGCTGCAAATTGTGAAGGGAATTGCTGGTGAGCATATGTTTATTTTTGGGTTAATATTTTCACGTCATTACTCCACAATTCCTTTTAAAATAATTTTGCTTTTGGTCTGAGAAGACCTAGTGGTTCGTTCTCAGTCAACCAAATAGCTGTGGAAGGTAGAGGCTGGCAATAGCCTGTGTAAGTTGGGATGAGTGGCTGTGATGCTGTCACTGAAAAGCCCTGGCAATGTAAGGGAGCAACGTGGCAGGTTGGTATTTCTGCAGGTGCATTTGCCATCACCTAGTCTTTATTCTGATGAAATGACTGTTGTGTGTTCTCAAAAACACCTTGAGTGTCAGGCTGCCCATTTAGGCCTGATCAGAATTCCTGTGCCAGTGTAGATGTGGTCACTCATTTTCCTACACTGATGCACTTATAACTGCTCAGTCTTTTTCCCTTTCCCTTGCCATGGTGTAGGTGTACCCAGACACCAATGCTACCCTCACAGGACAGCTTCTGGGATTTGAGCCTTTGTTACCTTGCACCTCACAGCCATCCCTTCTCCAGAATGCCTGGACCTACCTAGATCAGATTAATGAGCCATGACAATATGCTTTTAATCCATGCCCAGCTGCCTTGCCCTATGAAAAGAAAAATGTCTGTTCACGAGGTCCCATTTCCTTAGTTGATTTCATGTTATGAGTCACTGGAATTTTTTGTTTTCATTTTGAATGTGTGAAATATTTTGTATAAATTTTGGGAGTGGTCATTAATAATCTCTTACAAAACTTACTGGCTACCATTGCATTGATGACCTCTCTCCAGTCCTCATGCTGAGGGATGTTCAGTGTGTTAGCAAACAAAGCAAAAGGAAAATGAGCTCTAAAAAGATGTGAACAAACATCTGCAGAGTTCTCCTCTCCTGAATAATAAAGCATCATTCTACTATATTCCTTCTTTAGTATTCTCTGTGTATTTGTCATCTCTTGCTGCGCTACATCTAATTTACAATCCAGTCCCTACCAGAAGAAAGAGCTTGGAGGTTTTATTTGCCTAGGTACTATGAATGCACAGTTTAAATGGTGAAATGATTAAATAATGTGGAAAAAATTGAACGGGCAAAGGCAGGAGTCTTTCTGCAACATATCCTAACCAGCAATTCACCCCTCCTCCTCCATTCTTCCATTAATCACAAATTAATTACATGACGATTCTAAAATGAATGAAGCAAAAACCTACTAAGAACAAGGAGGCAGCTTGCAAACCCACTGTAATTTGCAACTGAGTTGTGTTACTAAGTGCAACCCTAGTGTACTAATTAATTTGAATTATCACTTAGCCATGTGTTCATATAAAGATTTTGTTTTCCTGTATTTTAATTTTGAATGTTTCCTAAGGAAAACAGTCATAGATAATTTTGTTTGGAACATCAGCTCAATGAAGCTGATGAATAAATGCATCTTGAGTTTCCTAAGCAAGCTGAATTCAAAATTGTGGTATTTATTGATGGGTTTTTTTTAATCACTGTGTCTTTTCTCCTTTGTGTTTGTGCTACTGAAAGTGTCAAGTAAGTATGTATTAGCTCATATATTCTTTCAGAGGGTAGGTTCATCAGTCTAGCTTTGTTCAAATCACTAGTGCACAGTTGTTTAATTTTTAGAGGTAATGTTGCCAATTCAACAAATCAGGCAACATTCCTCATAGTTTAGATGAGTAAAATAAAATATAAATTAGAAACCATATCTTTGTTGATCATAGCCTCTTAGCTGATATGAGTTCTTCTCTCCCATGAAGAACTCTTCCCATGTTTTGATTTCCTGTGTTTCTTAATTGTATCACTAAGCAATTTTTGAAATGTCATAGTGCATCTGTGACTCCTTAACATTACACCTTTGTGTTAGAATTTAATTCTGAAAATCAAATTCCTGTTCTTTTTGTCAACCTGCAGCTATTGTAAAAACTTTCGTTCTCTTTTTCTAGGCCCTTTATACTCATCACAGTTTCTAGCAGTTAGTTACTGTAAAATATTCTATCTTAGTTCAGAATTGTACACAAAAGACTTAGATTTCAAATGTTTCTAACCCTTTTGTGGCGCTAACCATGAAAATATTAACCAAATTTCAAGCCTCATAGCATTATTTACCTGCACGTGCAGACAGCCTAAAACAACATCTTTAGTTAGTCTGAGATAAAACAGCCAATTCAGAGTTCCTTGGATCCCACTCACTTTCCAAGGCTTATGTTAGGGATTTTCCCAGAGTTCTGCATATTTGCCACAAAATTTGTGTTTTGTCCCACTTTTTAAATGTTGTTTTCTTGTTTCATGTCCTATTGGAAAATATTGCAGTAGTTTCATTCTCTCAGAGTTCGCTTTGCTGGAAGAATATTGAGATTACATTACATTCCTGCAGAGAGTTCTTAGTGCCTGAGACATAAAAATGTATTTAGGGCTTGTGAAGAACTTCATCTGTATCCTGTAGCAGCTGAAGAGGGAATGAAATGCAATTACTTATTAGTTCTCTCATCCTCCTTGAATTCTGAGAAACTGCAAAAGAAGTCTGTTGTAGACAAAAATTAAATGGCATATATAGGGTCAAGACATTTAATATGTAGATTTTGACCTATGAATATCTATGGATATTTTAGCCAGTCACAACATGATTTAAAATCCAAAAGGATTTTCTTTCTGATAACACAGATGTTATTGAAGGGTGCACAGTAAGTATGACAGAAGTACTGGAATATTTCAATCAGATTATCTGTGCCAGAGAGGCCCAGAAAAAAATGTAATGAAATGAAAAAATACATTAAAAAATGTGTATCTTTACTTGAAGGATTGTGACATTCTGACACTCTAAAAAATTGCTATATTAATATTGCTTTACTGAAGGAATATTTACTTTATCTTCCATAAGAAAAAAATAATGGAATATATCCCTGTGCAAGATTACCTGTTTCTTTTATTTCACTGATGTGTTCAAGTAGTTGATAGGTAATTGGAATGTGGGAATGAAAGGCTGAATTGCCAGAGTTCTCCCTAAACCTATGGTGGTTTTACAGAATAGTGTTCCTGCCTTTCCAGGCATTCCAGAAACAGGCGTTTGTTTTCACTGACCTCACCCACACTGAATACTTGCTGCCAACTAAAATCATTTCAGCAAGATGCGGCACATAAAGTGGTTTTAACAATTTTACTTTTCACTGGAGGAGTAATTCCATTTCTGATTACTCCAACACTGCAAAACTCAGCAGAAATTTCAAAGCCTATCAATTAAAGTGCTTTCCAATCAGGCACATTGTTGAATATGTCCCTTCTCCTTATGCAGTAAAATTCAAGCTGCCTGCATTACCTCTGTGCTCTCATTACTTTAATTTCATCTCTGAAAGGAGAATAAAAGAAGAAAACACTGCAACCATACTTAGTAGGGTTCCTTGATAATTAGAGAGAAAAGTATTTAAAAAGTTAAAATTAGCAGAGTTAACAGAGAGCGTGCCTGCTCTGCTGCTTGAGCAGAACTGCCTTGGCCTGGGCCTTGGTACCCAGGAAGATATTTGCTCTATTGAACTGGCACATTTGCTGCATTGCAGTGATGACAGAGAATTACTTAATTGGCAGGAATTATTCTAGGCTTTAGATTATCAGTTTGTTTAGTGAAAATCAGAACTGAGACTTGAGAGAAAGCTACTGCCACACAGACTAAGTCAGAAACTGAGCAATTCCCATCTTCTGGGTGTTACATACGCTGCCAGCAAAAGTTTGAGTGCAGCATTTCAGGGTGTATCGAGGCTGGCTGTAGTCTGGGCACTTCACAGGAGTGGGAATGATGGGCTACTCTAACAGAGGGGTTGTGCTTTGCTGTTTCTGGTGCTTGAGTAAAGTAGACACAAATATACACACACACTTTCTTCAGCACTGTCGCTATTCCCACCTAGTAATATTGCGGGGTTTTCTGCCTTAGCTTTCCCCATAAAATAAGGAACAGGTTACAGTGTCTGTACCATGCGAAAACCTCTGAGATCCTGCTGTTTCTTCTAGACAAGTAATATACTTGTGTGATAAATCCTTTTAATTTTCTTCAAAGTTTCTTGTAATGGTTTCTCTAACATCGGTAATCCTGCCATTCTGTGCAACAGAACAGTTTTTCAAGTAATTAACATTAGACTGACAAGTGGGTTGAAAAATACTCCTAGACTAGAACAAAAAATGTATTCCAGCCTGCTTTTATGAGTCTCCTTCCTTCTTTGAGAATATGTGATGGTTTTTATTGCCATTTTTCAACTTCCTTATATTCTTAATTTTGTTGCAGTGTTTCAGCAAAAGGCCTGTCGAGCGACCAGTGACACCAGCAGAACATACTGCGAGGCCAAGAATCCTGGTACAGAGTTTAATTTAGCTCTTTAATTGCCTTGATATTTTTTCAGTAGGACTAGTAAAGTTTTGCTGTGACTTGATTTTGGGTGATTTAGCATCTGTTTTGCCACCTATAATTTATATCCTTAATGGTATTGCAGCATTGAGAGATCAGATTAAAGAAAGAAGACTAAAAGTTATAGCCTTGTAGGAAACATTTGTAGAGTCAGAGGTACTTTACACTCTATTGTTTCCCTTCATGATTGTGCCTAAAGGCAAGAAAAGGAAGGACAGGAGGGCTCAGCTGTGCAGTAATTCCAGCAGTAATGGAAAGACAGAAGTGGGGGGAGCAACAGTTCTCTCCTGGGTACCCCAAGATGCATGTAAAATTAATTACTTGTGGCAGTCTAGTTGTTATTTGAGTTGTAGCACCTAACAATGTTGCTACTGTAAATTCCATCAATGGTACACCTTTGAACAATCCTTCCTTGCTTGAAATGAAGATAGTGGTGCATGATGTAACAGAAAAACTGACCCAAATCATATTGATAGTCTGAACTTTTAGCCTGGCCACACTCCCCCTGCAGTCAAACAGGTGCAACAGCCTCATAGAGGGCTCACAACCCTTCTTCCATGACTGCTCATGTGTTCTGGATCAGCCATTCCAGCATCAGTATCCTGGGGAGAAGCTACACCTCCTCCCTGGACCAAGCTGTGAATCTGACAATGAACATCTTCCTTCAGCTGTGCAATGTATCATAATCTCCAGGAACACTGGGCTGCAGTGTTTTCTTGTTGCTGCAATGTATTTAATAATGTATTTCCTTCCTTGGAGAAAGGCAATCTTGTGAAATTTCAAGATGCTTCATGACCAAATTTCATCCACGACTTTTGAGATATGTATGAGATTGAAGAAGAAAGGGACAAAGAGGCACTGTGGATGTTTTGAATAGCAACCATTTTCTTTAAAATGTCGGTACTGTAACTAGTGCTAGAAGAAAATTCTTTTATGAACCAACACTAATGGAGAATCCGTGGACCAGGGAAGTAGTAATGAAGAAAATATTTGGGATGCTGCTCTGCTGCCAAAGATTAATGGTAGAATCCTCACTGATTTGCTGCATTTCTCACTTTGTACATTTTGTTGTAGAAGCGCACAGAAGCCACACTGAGACAGTAACTTACAGCACTGTTGTACACAAGATCCCTCCTGAACAGGAAGAACTCATCCACTTGCAGGAACAGGTGAAAAAAGGGGCAATTTCTGTGGATGAAGCCCTTGACAGATTTAAAGAGTGGCAGAACAAAAAGCAGAGACTGCCATCCACTCAACAGGTATGAGTTTGTAATTTGTTCCCTGATAGGAATCTTGATCAGATGTTCTAAAAGCAAGTTCTTGTGTTTTGGCACCTGCATATGAGGTCAAAAATAATAATTGTGATTTGTATGCAAATCAGCTCCCAAGGAGCTTGCTGGCTATGGTTCTGAATCTTCTAGATACCCATTTCCACTGCTGTTTGAGAGGTTTTCTGAGTTTGGTTAAAATCCAGAGTTAAATATGCCGGTCTTCTAAGACTTGTGTTTTAAACTGTTGTGCATCTTTCATGAAACCACAAACCTTATGTTGCCAAACCAGCTATGCTGTTGAGCAGTGTCAACTAAGAGAAACATTTCTATATCAAATATATGTGTATTCTATCTATTAAAATATAATAACTTACATCAGGCTTTATGCCTGTCTGAAAGGGTTGAATATACTTAGTAAATCCACAATTATTGGCAATGCTCTACAGCTCCTTTGTATTCAAAGTATGGAGTAAATTGAGGTGCACAAAAACAAGATTTACAGAAGCCCACACACTAAGTCGCTGAAAGAACTGCATTAAAGCTGCAAGTCATGGAGAGCAGGTTTGTTAAGTGCTAAGGTTTGTTAATTTTCTAAGATGACACATGGAGGAAGAGGTTATGCCCTCATTTTATATGAGGTCATGCATAAACAAAAATAGTTTCTTGTTGTCCTTTAGGTCATTAGTAGAAAAAGGAAAAGCAAAGCTAGTCTTCTGCTTTGGAAAAGTGGAAGAGCTTGCTGCCAGCAAGGAGAGTGCTCTTTGTATTTGCATCTGCTTGAAAGTCTGAGCTTTGTCATCACAGTGGAACACTTAGAAGCAAAAGTGCAAGGGCCTGGAACAGTTTAGGGGGGCCATTTCCCAAGCTGGGCACCAGCAGCACAGCACTAGAATGCGACCTTCCAAATCCATCTGCAGCCAAGCATGTGGATGAATTGCTGGTATGGCTCTCAGTCAGAGGCATTTCTTGTGGAGGGAGATCGTAGCTAATCCGTGCCATGATAGCAGCACCAAGTTATAACTAATTTTATATTTTTTTTGTGAATTCTAAGATGCCCTTATTTCAAGGGAGATTTACTTGGCCTGTTTTCCATGCTTCAGGAAAAAGCTACTTTGTAGAGGTGGTTTTTGCCCTGTATTGCATGTGTGACTTTTCTTTGGTTTTGTTCCATGGAAAAGTCTTTTCTTCTTACTCCTTTATAAATATGATGAACTGACTTCATGTTGTCACTGCAGTTTTTTGTCCTTCACTTGGATTTTTGAGGAGAAATCGCTTTTCAAAAAAATTTAAAAAATAAAAATAAAAAACCCCAAACAAACAGAAAAGAACACAAAAGCCTCTGTACTATAATGCCAGGATAATTCTAAGTTACTGCTGGCAGGGATAACTCCACAAGTCTTAGGTAAAAATGCTAGAATTAGCATCATAAACATTTTTCAGTCTTTTAAAATTATTTTCCATGTAAGTGATGCTTGGTATTCAGAATGCTAAAGAATTCAGCTTTTTATAGTGTCTTACTATTTCTACAGTAAACTTCCATTACTGAGTGCTGCTGCAGGTTTTATGCTTGTTTTTTTACTTAAAGGAAAAAGTACATCACCTTAGAGACACCACTGTCAGAAACAGACAAGAAAATGAAAACCTGAATGGTAAGTTGAACTTTTTCTGCCTTTAAGGACTCTGTAGCCTTGAACTATAAGTATAGTGCAGAGGTCTGATCCAAACCCTTTTGGATTGGGCATTGAATTTGTAATGAACATTTTTTGTATCTGACCACATTTATTTTAGCATAATCAAGCTTCAGCAATGTCAAGATTTCATCCCAAAGATGAACTCACTGCGAGTTAATGGGGCAGAAAATTTACTCAGTTTCTGTGGCTCAGCTTTTCTGTAGCCTGTTTCCTACTGCATCATCAGAATTTGGGTAGATGGTTTCTTTAGAATAATTTGCTTGATGACTTCAATATTTTATTTGTAAATCAGCCATCAGTTTTCAAATTCTTGATGAACTTTATACTGCTACAGCAGTTTTTGTGAGTATTGTGGTCATAATTTAAAACTGAACCATTGGTGATTTAAGATGCTTTTTTCCCTTTTGGGGGTAAAAAGGGGAATTTTGGGGTTTTCCCATGCAGGGCCAGGAACTGGACTCTATGATGATTGCAGGTGCCTTCCAACTCAGAATGTTCTATAACTCATTCTGATTGAATGTCATCCACAATAATATAAAGCACCTGCTTTTCCTGCAAATGATTTTCTCTTCTTCTTACAAAATAATCTATTAGTTGGTATTGGTTTTAGGCCTTTGATTTCTGTGAACTTCAGTACAAATGCTGAAAGGAAAATTGATGGTTTTTTCACATTGGATTTTGTACCATTTGTATATCTCTATTCAAAATTACCACCTAAATGCGTCATTTCCTTACTGCAAGGGAGAAAATGCACACTACTGCTTTCATTATTCTCTTTGACAGCATTGTATTCGTGTGAACTTGTGAGGTACTGTAATTAATTAAGGGAAATTCTTGCTGGACCGGTAGCAGCGTTGCGGTCCAGATCTTTCAGCTTTAATATTCTCTGTGGCTGGTAGGGGGGCAGTGTCCTGAGCAAAAGCCTTCACAAAGTGCTCAGAGCCTGAGGGCTTGGGATTCCTGCAACTCATGAGAACAGGAGGGTGACTCTTGGAAAGTGTTTGTCTGTAGGGTTTAATTTTAAGGCCACAGCAGCAGTCCTGCCACTGTAGCTGTCCTCCTTTTCCAGAGTTCACTATCGAATCATACCAGCAGAAACTGAGTATCAACACCAGAATTGTTAATTTTGTGAAATTATCCAGTGACTCAGATAATGATTGCTACATTCCCTTCTGATCCTAACCTCACTGCCCTCTGGTACACTGTCATATATCCTGCGATGAATATAAATCAGCAGCTTTGCACTGCAGAAATACAGTGGGAAGAATCATCATGGTCTCTGTCAAACAACAGAAATCAAATCCTTCAATGCTTGAAAAAACAGGACTTCCTCTAGAACTGAAGGCATATCAATGGCAAGAGTAATCAAGGATTGCAGAAGGAGGATCTCTAGGTCCAGACATAAATTGCCTGAAACAAAAATGATAATCACTTTCTCTTCTCCTATGAAGTTCCTATGGGGAGCAGACCAGAGAGCATTCATTTGAGAGACGTTTTGTTTCACATTCTATTTAGCAAAGTGGTATGTGTGAATGTCAGCAGTCCTCAGATTTATTCAAAGAATTCTACTTCTTACATGTATGTACAGACTCTCCCTGCTGTACCTTTAAAAACATGGGGACTCCCTCTCTAGACTCCATGCTTGAAATCAGGATTTGGATAGTCTTTTTCGTAGAGTTTTTGAAGTCTTGATTGAGGATTTAAAGAGATCACATCTGAAGTCTGTTAGAAAAGGAATTTGATTTTATTTTAATGAGAAAGGAAAATATCTCCTAGAAATTAGTATGGAACATAATTTTTAGTTTCTTGATAAGTTTGATCTTGCTTCCACTGTAATGATGTTATTAATGAGACTGGCACTTACTTCAGTCTTCCATTATAACATTTGATGCTATCTCAAAGTTCATGCCTCATTTTGTAACAGTTTAGTATAGAACTGAATAATGCCCTAAAAAAAATCAACTGCAAAGCAAAAGGTTCTGCCACTCTTGGAGTTAAATACCTACAAAACCCTGTTTTAAGAACAACTGGATAATGCCTAGGCCTGTAGAACATTCATTTGTAGAACGTACAGGCAGGGACAATGCTTTAACTCAATACTGGTCTGACATGTGGACATTGATAGTAACCTTTTCTTTTTTTCAAGCTCTTAGCCAACAGAAAAAAATCAACAAAAACAAATACCTTAAATAAAATTTCAGGGAATTATATAGAAGATTTGTGGACAGAAGTTCCACTTTTACATCTGAGTAGCCCAGATTTTTCGGGGTGCACCACCAAACAACTGAACTAAAGTAGCCTATTGCCCATGGGAAACTTTATCTTTGAGCAATGCTCTTTAGCTTAGGTAAGGCTGGAGAGTCTTGGGTTTGTGCATGTCCACTGATAGAACAAATGACAGCAGCTGAAACAACATTTGCAAGGATTACTAGACAAGCTTCCTTTAAAGTCTTAAAAAACAAGATAGCTTTCACGTGCATCCCACATCCTTACTTCCTAGCACATGGGAATATTTAAGAAACTCTGTGATGCCTACCTACATCACTGGGCATTTGAATTATAAGAATCTTATTTGGCTGTTTCTGAACATGGAATTTCAAGATCTGCCTACTATTGCAGTTACATTACGGCACCTTGTTTGTCACATCCCACAGATTTAGTCATCAACCCCTAAAAATATGCACAAGCTTGCAGAAACTACATAAGACAGTTTGAGTTGCTTTTAGTTAGCTGTCCCCCCATAGCCAATCTCTGTGGGACCTTCAGCCTGCCAGGGAGGGAAGTGCCAGGTTCCTCATCAAAACTGGGAATGACTGATGCTCTGTTCTCCAGGCTTGCCATAGCATCAAGAGCTGAGTATTAAGTGTCCCTGCTTCATTGCTAGGTAATGAGCAAGACAGAAACCCCAGAGGACAATCTATAACTCAGCTGGACTTCAGGAGACAAATACTGCATTAAGCAAGTGTTAAGCTTGATTTATTATTATTGGTGGTGGTGTTACTACAACTGTTATTATTTCAATGCCAGCAACTTCTATAATGGTTGAAGGTAGGTCTTGGGAAAAAAAAATATTACATGTTTTAGTAGTCCTCCAATGACAAATAAACCCATGGGAAATGAGCAATTCAGTCTTTGCATCTGTTCTGTCTTGGCCTCCCTGGCAAGACTGGCAAGTGGCCTGCTGTGGAGGTCAAAGCTTTTTCCACAGGCTACTCAACCACATGCATTTCTTCCTTAGCTGTTAAATCAGTAGGTACTGACACTGGAAATGGCCTTCCAATGAAGAAGGGCAACTTTACTAGCTGTTGTTGCAGACATTTTGATACTGACCTGCTGACCTGTAAGTAGTCAGCTAATCCACTGCAGTAAAGGCATCCTCCATAGAATTTCTTCTTCCACATTTTGATTTCCAAATTTGTACATGCCCAGCTTGCTGCCAAAGACCAAATCTCTTTCCCATCTTCATCCAAAAAACACCCAGAAGAGCACTATGCACATTCCACAAACTGGCAGGTTATTGATTACATTTGCTATCCAAAATGTCTGGCTTCATTCCCCAGCCCTCATCAGTGCCTTTTTTTTCATCCAAGTTGCTAACAGATTGCTTATTCATCAGTTGATGCCTCTCCAGCTTGCAGGTTGTGTCTAAGTAGAGTTCCCTGAAAACTGAAAAAGCACCCCCTTATTTTGAGCACAGCCACCAGTTTCTGTTGTCTCTTGTAGGTCAACAGGGAGATGAACAAAGACAGACCCTAATTTTGGCATTTGGATTCACAGGCACTGAAACTTCTTTAGTCAACTTAGCAAAGTTGAAATAACATGGGATCCTGAAGCACATACAAGCTTTTGTATGTTTGGACAGTGAGGAAGTCATAGAGAAGCTGTTTTTTTCCTTCATGGCTTCAACAGTATTTCAGTCAGGACTTCTAGTCTTGAAAGTACTTGTTGGTAGTGCATTGGAGTTATAAAGGAACATCTTTAGCCTGACTTATTTCAAATTTCTTGAGCTTCATGATGCTCAAAGTTTAAATCTAGAAAATAACAAAAATCACTTTCCTGCCTATTTGTCACCAAGTCATGTCATCATGAGGCAAGCTCACAGTCCCACTGCTGACAGTAGTTCACCAAGACAATGAATATCCATGTATCTCTCACCTCCCCTAATTGCCAGCAAGAGAGACTAGTCTTGCTGTTGGAAGTAAGAATTGTATAAAATCCACCTCATGTCATTCTCCCACACAACAACTGCTTATTTCTGTGTCTCTTGCTCCCCTGCTCCCAGGGACATGTGTTGTCTTCATATTTGAAGTAAAGAACATAAAAAGTGACTCACTGTAGGAATGTGTTCTCTGAATTATTCAATTTCAAAAGATATTTTGCACAAGCCTAACCTACTTATTTAAATTATTATTGATTGCATCTTTTTCTTTTTAGTCTACACCTAGGAGCCCAAGAGACAAGGAACAGATGCCTAATTACCCAAGGTAAGACCAGCTATATGGATGCACATGCACACACAAATGTTTGTCATGGAAACAGACACTTGTGGAGGTACTTTCCATCAGAGTACATTTGTGTAACAGAAGGATGGAGGTGCATCTCAGACAGAGGCTTGATTTCAGAAGATAAACCATTATCATCACACAGTCTGGTTTGTACTAAAGCTTTTTATCAGCTATCAACCTATTTTTGTGTAGTGCAGGGCAAATTAGTGAGCAGTGAGGCACTGAGCTCACTTGTGGGTGCAGCTGAACAGAGTTCCTGCCAGTTATTGTCACTAAGGCAGGGTATGCACCTAAAAGCTGTATCAGAGTCCAGTCCTACATCCTGATTTCACAAGCAGTATCAAACTTATTGAATAAAGTTGAAAGCTATAGATAAAGTGATGAGTCCAGATTAAACACAAGACCAATGGTCTTTTAAGTGCTGGGAAGCTTAGAGGTGGTGATACTGTTTCCATAAACAGCAGAATTTTCCAATGGTTGTGCTAGTGAGTTTTTTTGGGGTTGGGGGCATCTAAGGACCTCTGTAATAGCTGGGGAGCTTAATTATTACTATCTGCTACCTGTGTGTTTCCATTGATATCTCATTATATTACTACTATATTAAGATATTGTTATAGCATTAATGTTATTATTATGCAATATTATTAATATTATGAAGTAATATTGTTCACAGTAGCAAATTGATGCAATTTATTCCTGAAGACAACTGTAATTTTAAAGGCTTTGTTAGTTAAGTTACTGTGATTCAATTTGCCTCTCCAACTTTTCCAAGTGAGGGGAGTGCAGTGTGGTACTGTTGTTGTTTCTTTGGACCAGAAAATGGATTAACTTCAGCAGGGTCTCTTCTACCACCCTACTCTCATGTAAAGGAGAGGGAAGTTGTTCCTTGCAAGAAATGTGTGTCCATGTCTCATTTCTGGAGCCACTGCTCACTGGAGTGCAGTGTCCACACCACAAAATAATAGGTACCTCCTCTGCTGCTGCTTATCCTCTGAATCACTTGTTCACATCTCCCCTCTTCAAAAGTTCTCATAACAACAACAACAACAAAAAAAAAAGAAAAAAAACAGTCTTATGACCTGAGCCAAAAATGAAAACCTATTGCTCCTTCTTCAAGAGGCAGCTTAACCTCCTACATGGGCATTCCTAACAGAGCTGTCTCCTTGAGTGGAGATGAAGTCACCTACACTAAATGAGTAAAAAAGCTTTGAATTTTAAAAGCTCTGAGGCTGGAGAAAACTATTACAAAAAACTGGGTAATATCAGAGATGCTTATAAATTCCAGATTGCTAAAGTGAGATGAATCATGCAAGGGGAGAGGGGGAATTACCCCTGGGATCAGTACAGGTGATTTCTGTCACTTTAAGAAAGTAATGATGTGGGAGAGAGTTGAATTAGATGTGGGAGAACTTGCAAACATAATTTATCAAGAATATTCAATAAATTCTGTTTGTGAATTATCCACATAAAACTGCAAGGTTCTCCACCTCTGCAAAGTATGGCCTCTCCATAGTTTTTCTGCTGTTTTCTGTCTTCAGATTGGTTCAAAGAAACCACTTTTTTTAAAAAGACTAATTTCAGGGAAATTTTTGAGTGTTTCAAAAAATTTCAGATAAACATTCAAGACCTGCCTTTGTATTGCTCATGTTTTGACTCTCACAAAAGTTGTTTTCCACTCCAGTGCAAAGTTCTTGGCTAACTTAGCTCAGAATCCCATTTTGCTTACAGAAGGTGGGAGGAGGATAAGGGAATTGATATTCAGCTGGGGGACCTGAACAAACAGAATGATTTTGATTCTCTCATACTCATTTCAATAAATACAGTTTGATCTTATTCTAAACAAACCTGCCCCATCCATTTCATAACAGGTAGCATTTCTCAGCATTACCTGCAGGGTGGCTCTCCAGCCAGCTGCACATCAGTTTCCTCTGCTTGGCATCCCACACATGTTCCAGCTGTGCCTTGGCAGCCTCAGGCTCCAGCCCATCCTGCTGTGACACTGCCACGGGATTATTGCTGCACTTCCAGTGCCTTGGATTCTGTCACCAGGACCAGCTCTGGAAGAAGACCAGTATCACTAAAGCAAATTAATAATGTTTCCTGTAAAGTCATTACCGAGTTTTACACTCTTTCTTTACTTTTTCCAAGATGACAGCTGACAATTTATATGAAGATGTATTGCCTGCTTTGGTTAATAATTTTTCAAGTCATTTCAGTTTTTCCATTGTGCTTGATAAGTTGTTTAAAAGTAGATTTTATGCACAAAAGAAGATTATGAAGTGAAAAGTTCATAGTAAAAGGTTATGAAGATTATTAAGTGAAAGTAAATAAAATTTAGCCTTTACTTTTTGTTGAAACATTTTTATATTCACTCTGTATAAAAAATCATCTGTATAAAAATGGTCCGAGGAATAATTGTATTTCATCACCAGTTTAAGTAATTGCAGTCACATTAAAGCTGATTTTTTAAGCCAAACTGTGTAAACAAGTACTAATTATCTACTAATGCATTAAAGTGATTCTGAGAATTTGGTTTACAAGGAAATTGTGTTTTGTTTAGTAAGTTGACTAAGGTAAATTATAACCAGAACTAAACCAAATTACTTTCTACTGTATTAACACAGCACAGTCAAGTAATAAATATGGTTAATGGGTATAATGGTCTTCATTCCTATAGTACTATTCTACAAAATTTAAGTGAGCATTTGATGATACAAGAGAATGCAAGATGACTTGCCCTATTTCATACACAAAAACAAGGGGAAAAAAAATCTCCTTGGTGTAGATATGTTTTTCTCTTTGACCAAGTGTTAAAGTGACACCCAAATTTGGAAGAGGGGAGTGGATTTAAAGTTCAAGCCCTCAAGGTTCATTATTTTTCCAATCGCAATAAATTTTTTTGCCAAGTGAACTATTAGAAATAAAAAATAAGCCAAAAGGCCACTGTTGGGATTTAATAAAAATGACAGGATCTTGAAAGTATATAGATTTAGACTAATTAAAAATCTGTTTTCTATTTTAAATGGGTTGATTAAACATTTTCAGTAAATTATTTATTCTCTGGGGGAAACCTGCATTTTTGTTAGAATCTCTCAACAAACACTGCAGATGTATTGCTATTAAGTCATAAATATTCAGTGGCTGCTGTATTAGTGTGGCAACATAGCTTAGTGTACCATATAAAGCTATTTGAACCACAGCAAAAGCCCTGAAATGTGTAATGTATTCCAGAGCTGGAAATACAGTCAGTGAGCTGAGGGCCACAAGATTGTCAGGTTTTATAGGAGAGAAGCTGGGATGTTTTAAATCTTACCTGGCTACATGGAAATGGGAGTGGGGAGAATTATATGCAAATCTAAATGAATATAAGCTGTTATTTCCCTCTTAAGAGGGCCTTCTTTCTCCCCTCAATAATATTTATATTCTTACAAACCTAGCTAGTCAGTGTATCCTCTGGCAAGCATTCCTGAGGAGTTGACATATAGATGGAAAAAGAATACAAAAAAATTAAAAGGTTCTTCATGTTGGTACCTGCTGTCTTTTCTGCCATTTGTTTTTTGTTTCTGTAGCAGAGGAGTTGAAGGGATCTTTCCTGGGAGGGGGTCAGTCCTCCCAAACCTCCAGGTGAGATCTGGATGCTCTCCATGCTGCCAAGCGAGAGGCTGTGCCCCAGTGGCTCCTGAACTCCAGGGCAATGCAGAGAGTTGTGGTCAATGGTAACAAACTACAAAACTGGAAAATTGCAACAATAAAGCACAGACAGTTACATCAAGGAAACAGTATGGTTTTTCCTAGGGAAAAATAGAGTGTAACAACACAGCAACACTGCCAAGCACACAAAGCAGAAGCCTGAGGGTAGCTCCCCTCAGGAAACAGAAGTGTGCTCTATGTGAATCTTTAATGTGACACTCCACAGTCTCCAGCCTGGAGAGTTTAGGATTACCCATAACAAAGCAACTCCTCTTCTCTGCTTCTGTTGCTTCATCCTCCATCATTCTGCTGCTCTAGACATTCCAAGTACAGCAGCACCAGCGTTACAGGTTTGGGCAGCCCTGTTTTACAAAAAGCAAGAGTATTTTTAGCTCTATTACAGAGTGCAGAACAGTCTCGAAAGGATGCAAGATAGCACTAGGGAAGAGATGCAGTGTCACTTTAATGAAGAACTACTTCTGCTACACCACAGATTTGGTTTGTTCATCACTCTAGTCTCCTCTGACTCTTGATATTATAATGTAGAACATCAAAATCCAAAACCAAATAAAATACACCCCACAAAATCAGATCAATTTTTGCCAATCTACAAAATCTTCCTGGAAAACTGTGTGTAATCCATAACAGTGCAACTTTTATGGTATTAAATTCCACAATGGCTAAGCAACAAGTTGAAAATGGGACTTTTGTTCATTTGGGTTTTGTTTACACACACAGAATTCCCACCCACCCATACTTTGAGGCAGCCAGCCAAGGCCCCAGAGGAGAAATGAAGGGATGGATGCCTTTTTTTTTTTCCTTCTCCAAAGGGAATTTCTTCATCCCAGTGTAGTTAATTACGCTCAAGCTACAAGTAAAATCGTCATACTTCTGTGGAAAAAAAAAAAAAATAGCATCTGTTCCCCACCCCTCTCATGTTCAGTATTCACAGTCTGTTTTCTACTGCAGGATTTCCATACATTTCCTCAAGGTGTGCCACTGAACTTCAGACATGTTCCTAAAAAAACATTCCAGCATGAAGTCCTGAAGTTTTGCTAACTAACATGCTTCACTAACAGGGAACATCAGCAAGTGCCTCTTAGGCAGTGCACGAATGATTAAGTAAATCACAGGAGACTGAGAGCCTAAATGAAGCAAGATCCTGGTTGTAGGCACTCTAAAATATTAGCTAAAATATTAGTTTCATTATAAGCTAGGGGATTCAGTAGCAATAACACCACTCCACACTTCCAGCTGGCAATACATATCCTATGAAACTTGGACCAATAACTCATTGAAAAATAAATACTTTTAACACCATGACATCCAAGAGAAAGAAAAACAATGCTGAGAGATTTATGGTGACTGCCATTATCAGCAAGTTTGATCTGCCAGGAGCCTCATTACAGGAGAGGTTTCAGTGAGTCAGCAGCACTCAAAGATTGTCCACTTTTTGCTGAGGTAACTCACCTGTCAACCATGAGGGGGTGTCATGGCCTAGCTGGATGTTCACCCTATGAAAAAATACTCATGGCATTTCAACACCAGTGTAATACACAGCAGACTGAGAATAAATGTCAAGTCCTACCTTAATTTTATTAAAGACGTTATAATCCGTGCAGGAATGTAAATGTGATGAAGATAGATTTCAGTCTTCATAGGAAACATTTACTGTGATAAGAGCAGGAGCAAAATGACAAGAGTTGTCCTGGCAATGCTCGAGGGGGTGTGAATCACAAAGAGGAGGCAGAACCACGTAGACTGACTGCTCATCCCCTTCATTTATGGTAACCAACTTTCTTCCTGACAAACTTGAGAGTCATAATTCAGTAATGCTGAAGTGAGTCATTCCAGAAATAGGCCCCAAGACAAGCCATCAACAAGCAAGGTGGAGGGACCTACTCAGCTACTCCAGACACACTGGGATGCAGTAGCTGAAATTAAGAACTGCATCAAGAGAGCAGGGAAAAGATTAATGGAGGCAGAAAGTGGTCCCAGGGAAGTAGCAGTCAGTTTATGCCAGACTCCCAGTACAAGAAATAAGACCTATACCAACAGCACTGTCAATTCTCAACAATAATTTCAAAGGCTTGGATCAGCTTCTTTTTACAGGAAAAAAAGAACAAGACAACCAGGAATAAAGTACTGAGGTCCCAGCTTGCTTCTGCAAGGACCCTCCATACACACAGACAGTAGGAGTTCCACAGAGGTGAAGAATCCATTAAGGCTGTCCAACATCATGAAAAATACACACACAAGTTGCAATTGTTTGCAGATGCAAGTGACATGCAGTACTAAAATGCTCACCAGAAAAAGTTTACTGTTGCTACCTATACAGAGAATGTACCTAGTCTGGTTAAAAAAAGAAACACAAAAAGCAGCATTTTTAATCAGTCAGCATTAAAGTTCATCAGTTTTAATGCTGAAATACTTCATTATGAATCTGTAGTATCAGTCCTGGCAGAAGACAGGCCAAAATATTTCACCTCAGGGCACTAACCTGTGAGGCTTGGTTGAGTTACAGCAACTCTTCAGAAAGTAAATCTGGATCCAGTGCATTTCAAGGCAAGACACACAGGTCTAATAACTATCTGAAGAACTTTTTCCTAGCATGGATTTGGGTAATTCAGTCCCTTCTCTGGTGCTTGCAATACCTTCTTCTGCTAGATTAAGTGCTGTTTTCAGAAGTCTTGACATACAAAGATATTTATAAAGAAAAAAACCCCAAACTTAAATGGAGATCACAAAGCAGACTTGTTATATTTTATTGTAGTTTTTGAGGTTGTCATAAGCAGTTCTACCTGCAAGGCATGGGCTGGCACATGCCATTGCTGTTTATTACATCACAGGAACACCCACATGGCCTCAGTCTGGAGATGAGGGTCCCACAGACATAATATAAATTATATAAATTATAATATTATAAAATCTATAAATTATATACAGCTTAGATTTCAGTCACGCTCAGAACACAAGTCAGGCGCCACAGGGTAGCAGTAAGTAAAAGAACATATGGCAGATGACCTCATCCCTCTCAATTTACCGTTAGTAGGTCTATCTGTCCTTTTCCACCCAAATCTGGTATCTGACTAGGCATCAAAGTCTAGACAAAAACCTGGACATCAAATCCTTGACAAGAAAATGCCAGCAGCTGCCAATCACCGAACAGAGCCCACGTCAGCTGCCATTCTCCCAAGTCATAGTTCTAGTTCACAGCACACAAGGAAGTATGGAGAGACACAAAGGAGATGGAGAGTGGGAAAGGATTAGGCAAGAGGTTAATTGCACCTTTAGCGCAAGAGGGAAGCCTTCATTTATGTTAAAAACTCCATCAAAGACAATGCAGTTAAGAACTTACTTTAGTTTTCTATTTTAGGGTGGATTCAGTGAATCTATAACCACAGGAAGGTACAAATGAACTTCCTGATGCTCTCTCTACAGATCAATTACCTTTGAAGCAAGCTTCCTCGCTAAAAAAAAAATAAAAAAAAATAAATAAAACCAAATATAAGCCCTAACACATGA